GGACATGTTGGATGATAACATTGTATAAGCTTCTGTATAAGTTTTGCTGCCACCATTGTCTTTCAGTGTAGGAAACCGCAGGACCTATTTGGTTGGTATGATAGAGAATAAACACTTCCTTGTCTAACTAGAAGAGCTTCTTATAGTTTACAAGATATAGCTTAGTTCATGTTAGCAACTTGTTACACATTACAATAATATGATAAACATTGTTATAGAGGCTTTGAGGACCACCAGATGCTACGTTGCATTCTTCGAGACCCTAGGCTGTTCTGGGAAAGTCCATGTGACAGTATTACAGTTTTAGAATCAGTGCTTGTACCCAATTTTCCCTCTGAGCAGCCACATAACCACAAAGGGTTCTGCACATACCAATCAGCATGCTGTTGCATTGACCTTCTACTTCCAGAAATCATTGCATAGACTTTAAAGGTCCATGCAGTAGAAAAATTAATTAAGGGGAAAGTTGCTTACCACTCCTCAGTATTTGCCCATTATACAACAGCTCCTAGCTTTTGGTTTATCCCATTCAACCTTAAGCCAGTTATGGCCACTTCATTATAACTATTTTGCTATTTCAGACTCAACTGAATTGCATATAAAATCCCATCCCCAGCATTTTTTCCATTGTTCAATACTCCAAAATGTAACAATATCCTACATGTCCTTTTATTATTTCTTAACTGAACTGAGAAGGATTAGCTCTTCGTACCACTGTCACTAAATGCTTCGCATTTATGTTTTCAATTAATAAAGCCAACAATACTCCCTTTATCCCGTCTATAATTCTTCTGCTCCTGTGTTAGTGTGTAACTAGGAATACACTGAGCATTCCTATTTATAATTCTTGTCTCAAAGTCAAGATGACTAAGGCAGCAACCTCATGTAGATATACTGGGACTATGTGACAGTGCAACAGGGCATTCTTGTGTACATAAAACCCAATATGTTCTTTCAGTTAGATTTTAAACACCTCTTGACATTCTGGGAAAAAGAGCTTGGGTGATCCCCTGTGTTTTGGCCATTTTTTTTCCCAAAGCACTTGTCAGGTCATTATCACATTGACATCTTATTGAGTAGCAGAATAGACTTGAGAACTGAGTGTCTACTCCTGCTTTAAATTCATATTTCGATATGCTGTTCAAGGAAGTTTGCTGTGCTGAAGTTGTTAGTTGCATTTTTTTACATCACAACAATAATTACACTACAAAAATAATTTCTTGGCTATAAAGGACTTTGGTGTTTCTCATAGTTGTGAAAGGCACTAGATAAACGTAAGTCTTAAATTAGGAATAGAAAATGCTGGAAACATTCAGTAGTTCAGGCACATTCAGTGGAGAGAAACAGAGTTAATATTTCAGGTTGATCACATTTCATCAGAAGTTTTTCTTCTATTGTTGCATCATCAGTGCTCCTTTGTGAAACTCAAACCTAATGATTTATTACAATTGATATTGGTTCAATGGGCTCCAATGGTGTTCCTTTGCTTATTATTTTAACTGAGGCACTTTTATTAAAAAACATGTTAATGTCAGCATTAAAACAACGAAGAGAAGAACATTGTACTGATATGAACAGTAACAACTTTAAGGGGCTGACAACCCATCCAGCTTAGTCAGAACATTCTTTTGTATGAAACAGAACCCATATCAGAAGATATTTGTGTACATATAAAAGGTTTGTTATCAAATGTTAGAAAATGCATACACCACAATAACAACTTCACAGTGCAAGGTACGGTCATGTTACAGCCAGTGATATTAAATCCTGCAAGCATGCACGTAGATCAAGTATTATTGTGGCAATGATTGTAAGCAGTGTTTCACTTGTCCTTTACTAAGAGCCAGAATATTCCAGTCGGACCAATAAAACATGGATATGACCTTCTGATGTCTTCTGTTCTGGCCAACAGCTACTATATTCATCAAACATTATTCATATGATGAGAAATATAATTAGTTTGAAAGGGAATTTGGGCATTTGTATATGGCTATTTTATTTGGACCAGGAAAACATTGCATTACATTCACCCGGATTTTGCAGTTAGGAGGATGGTGTCAGTGGTCACCACCTTTAAAACTGACTGTAACTTCTGGAGCCCACACATACCCCAGTGAAATGCAGAAATTTGGAAGTTGCTGCTATAGATTTTGCTCTTCTCTATAAAGTCTATTTTTGAAGTTGTCATGGACTGCAATAATTAGCAATAACTGAACAAATGAGAACTTCTATTTTTTATGCTATTAGTCTTTTTTATAAAAAAGTTGAAAAATATATTGTTGAATGAAGTTAAATTAGATTTTTAATATTTACACACTAAGTTCATAATTATTGCCAATTTCAGATTTTCTCTGGTTTTATCTTATGTTTACAGAATGCTAAATTTCTTCTTTATTTAAAAAATATCCACACAATTTTTAATCTTTTGAAGAAACATGTGTTAACGATACTTTAGCTTCTATCTAATTTCACATGTGATTTGCAATCCTTATTTTGCAGTCTAAAATGATATTAAAAGTGATAGATAATCAGATATTCTTAACTTTCTAGTTTGCTGAATGTGAGAATTATTCACTGTGATTGGCTACTTAATCTGCTTGCTTTTATCGCTCTTGTTGAATGTTGGCGATCCCAATGAATTGGTGCCAGATTAAAAATGACATCAAGTAAAGATGAAATCTGAACTAAGGAGATCCCTGGATTCTAATGAACAGCTTTTATGTTCTGTGATGAGTCATGTTGCCACCACGAATAGCAAAATCCAATCCAGTAAGCATTAAAAGCTTTGTGGAGCAAACTATGATGCATAAGTATTCTGCACTAGAATTGGAATGGAATATAACAATTCTCCAGCTCCATCAAGTGGTACATTGTTCCCAAGGTTTTTCGAAGTTAAATGATGACTCTTCTCAGCACATCTGCAGGAATTTTCAGTGTTAAGCATGCTGATTAGCTTGACTATATTTTAATGATAAACGTATACGAAACTAGAAACTAGCACACTAATTGCTCTGTGTAAGTATTAAAGTGTTAGTAAAATCCAAATTTGAGTCAATTCCTCAAGTTGTACCATTTCAGCCAGTTCTGGGGCACAGCTAAAAAATACATTGTTTTGGCTTAGAGATTTGCATAAAATTGAACATAATACAGCCATTTGGCATGCAAATAATCTAATATATGTAGAACTCAGAAGTTCGGAGGAAGGGTCACCGGACCCGAAACGTTAACTCTGTTTTCTCCTCCACAGATGCTGCCAGACCTGCTGAGCTTTTCCAGCAACTTTGTTTTTGTTCCTGATTAAATGTTGGTTGATGTGCTGCAACACTGAAATAGATCATATCAGGCATTTTACATTTATCTTAAGTTAAAAAAAATTATAAAAGAAAGTACAAACTTTGATTGAAAACATTATGCAAATATTGGCTGCAATACAAGCTTCCAGCATGGACTACATGTGGAAATATTGACTAAAACCTTGCATTTATAGTGTGTTTAACATAAAAACAAAGTCTCAACATGTTAGAAGAGAGTATTATCAGAAATAAATTAACAGGGAGACATTAGCACAGGTGACCAAGCTTGGTGCCATACTTCTAGGATGTTGCTGGAGTGCACCCTCTTCGGGAAGTGGAGAATATTCCATCTCACTCCTGACATTGCAGCCTCAGACCTCATAGCCACAGTATTTATGTATGGCTTGTGCACTTCAGCTTCTGGTCAATGGTGACCCTCATGTTTAACACTGATGGTAGTGCCATCGAATGTCAATGGGAAATTCTCCCTTGTTGAAGATGGTTAGTGCTTGGTACTAATGTGGCACTGGTGCAATTTGTCACTTATCAGCCCAAACCTGAATAGTGTACCAACCTTGCAGCATATGGATCCTAAAAATTGTGCAATCATCAGTGGACACTCCCACTTCTGACCTTATGATGGACAGCAGGTAATTGATAAAGCAGCTGAGGATAGATCGGCCTCAAACTCTACCCCGAGGAACTCCTGCAGTAACATACTGGGACTGAGATGTCTAGCCTCCAACATCCACAACCATTCTCCTTTGTCGGGGAATGCTTTCCCCCATTGAGTCCAATTTTCCTAGGGATCTTTGATGACACATTCAGTCAAATGTTGCCTTGATGTCATGGGTAGCAACTCTCACCTTCGCTCAAGTTCAAACCTTATGTCCATGTTTGAACCAAGGCCATAATGATGTCAGGAGTTGAGTGACCCTGGTGGAACTCAAACTGAGCATTGATGAACAGGTTATTTTTGTTGCAGTTTCTAGTTTTACCTAGATTCTCTCACTTCACAGTTATGATCGAGCTTGAAGTAATGCTTAGGATTATTATTCCTGTTTCAGTTAGTATTCCATATAGTTAAAATGATCCCACAACTATATTTCGCTTTGAAAGCAATTAACTAAAATTATCAACTAGACTCCAAGTGAAGAAATTGGGACTCACCTCTTCTGTAAAGCTCTTATTGCGCACCATAATACCCTTTCTCCTCCACCCCCAGCATTACAGTATGGGTGAAAGAACGCCACCACTAGTCGTCTCTTGCCATTTTTTCCTGAAGTTTGTAGTATTTTCTTCTTTGGGCAGATCCAGAATCGAATATACAATAAAATAGCAGCAAGGATAAATGATAAGCCAGCAGTTACGAAAAGCGTAGGAATGATCAGCGAAAACATAAACCTAACGGAAAGAGCAAAAGATTATATAAAAGGCTAATCATCAGCTGGATAGATAGACTGGCACAGTATTTCATACATTACAATTGGAATTTTTTAGCCACCACTGCTTGGAAGCTTTTTGATCTCGATTCTAAACTGTATATCTGCTCAGAAAATGATGCTCTGCAGCTTGCCACATCAAAGCACATAGAAGTATGTTGGGATGACTGTATCTCTTTATTCATATTCCCTCACAAAGGAAATGGCCTGAGTGCTTCAAAAAACGTACCACCATATTATCTCCTGCAATTTGCCCAAAGTATACACAAACCTGCGATACATAATATTTGCAATTAAACTACATATGTATCTTTTATGAGGAACGGTATAACAGGCAGGCTGAGCAAGAAGAGATCTTCTCGAAACATAAGATCCTTAGGGGACTTGACACATTGGATGCTGAAAGAATATTTTCCTTGTGGGAGAGACCAGAAATAAGGGACTGCATTTAAAAGTAAAAGGAGCCTCTCATTCTCGGGTTGAGAGATTAATGACATTGAATTAAAAAAAAGATAAAAATTATTGCACAACACTGAATGGAGGAGAAACTTCTGCCAATAGCATGAAACAAAGTATTGTCAGATCAGCTTTTTACTTTTTTCCTTTCATTAAATTCAATGGATGTTGTTCATAATGGAGGGGTGATATCACTTAATTTATGTCACTGCAGAAAGTTATCTTTAGTCATTTAGGTCTGAAAAACTGACAATCTCATTTCTGGAAATAATTAAGGCAATGTATATTAACAGCACGTGACATGGACTGTGAGCAGAGAATAGTGTAATCAAAATTTAAGTTTTAACTTCTAAACGTCAAACAAGTGTGAAATGAAACCAAAACTCATGAGATGTGACATCTGATTATGGTTCACACCTAACACATGGTAATGACAAAAGAATAATGGAGTGGAAATCAATTTCACTGAACAGTGAGGTAAGAAATCACTGCATAAATCTTAAGAAATTGACCTGAATATTATAGTAATCTTATAATGAAAGTTCCCACACCAGCATGAAGGCTGAAAAGCTCAGGACAAGCCTATCTGTATAAATGACACAATACCTACTTGAAAATAGGCTCTCAAGAAGAAAAAAAATCTAAGTGATCCATACTGACTTTGACCATCTTCAGACAGAAGATAACTTGGGAAGATTTTCCTAATACTTTGGCTAGATATCCAAAGAGGCCACCACCAGCTATGGAGATCAACACTTCATATCATCTGTCCAATCATCCTGCAGGACAGGTAAACCATCCTCACCTGTCATGGGTCATATGTGACTATGAATCATTTTAAAACTGTTGCTTCTTCATAAACTACTTTTAAATTAATTCTGAGCTGAACCCTCTTTCTAGGTAATCTCTGACTGCAGGACCAGAATCGTACAGGTCAAAAGGAGGAAGTCCATTTGACACAATTCGCCAGATACTATAGAAACTCAGTAGGTCTGGCAGCATCTGTGGAGAGAGAACCAGTCAACATTTCGAGTCCAATACGACTCTTCAGGGTTCTGTTTTATACCAATTTTGTCATTATTCCAGCACCTGCAGTATTTTGTAGTTACTAGTGACCCTTAACTACTGCAAAAAAAATCAAAGAACCACAGATGATGGAAATCAGAAACAAAACAGAAATTGTTGGTAAAACTCAGCAGGTCTGGCAGTAACTGTGGAGAGAAAGCAGAGTTCTGCCATTGACTTTTTCAGAACTGTATTTGTTTCAGATTTCCAGCATCTGCAGTTCTTGATTTCATTCTCCTGTCATGTACGATTCTGGTTCTGGGGTCACAGATTATCCAGAAAGAAGGTGGCATTCAGAATTAATTTAAAAGTAGCTTAATTAAGGAGCAACAGTTCAAAAATGATTCATAGCCACATAGATAAGATAAACATTTGATCCATGATAGGTTCAGAACAGTTTTGAAGAATGGTCACTGGACCCAATACATCAACTCTGATTTCCCTGAACTCACCCACTGTCCGGTGTCCAGCTTAAGACCATAAGAAACAGGTGCAGGAATAGACCATTCAGCCCCTCAAGCCTGCTCCATCATTCAATAGGATCATGGCTGATCCAACATTCTTCACATCCAATTTCCTGCCATTTCTCCATAACCCTCCGATCAAGAATTCATCACAGCCTCTTCATGAACTCTTTGTTAATGGTCCCCAGTAACATGTTCTGACAGAATAATTATTTTGAAGTTTGTTTTTTTTAAATTTCAAAAATATACTTTACTCATTTAAAAAGTATCTTTTTATTGTCACAACTGCAGTTCGGTTCTGTACAGTAGCATATCAAGTGAACAAACATACATTTGAGTTTGATGAAAACCGAAAGAATTGCGGATGCTGTAAATCGGGAACAAAAACAGAAGTTGCTGGAAAATCTCATCAGGTCTGGCAGAATCTGTGAAGAAAAAACCAGAGTCAACATTTCGGGTCCAGTGACCCTTCCTCAGATCCTTCTGGACCCGAAACGTTAAAACTCTGTTTTTTTTCTTCACAGATGCTGCCAGACCCGCTGAGCTTTTCCAGCAACTTCTGTTTTTGTTCCTGATTTACATTTGAGTCTATCCCAACCAACCAAAGGCATCTCTTACACATACAAGACTATATTTAGATATACCGAGGCAGTAGGAAGGTCCTATAACTGAACAGATGTTATTTATCATCGCCCCTGATGGGCAGAATCAGGCAGCACTTCACTCACCTCAGTAACTCACAGAGACACCAGCTCCCGCCCGCCATCTTGGACACACTGACCTCCGCTCCGGAAGTGAATGTTCCCGTGTAGTTCAGTAACCGAAGGTTTTACAAGGATTTGTCAATTTCCGAGAATAAAGATAGAGATATCAACTACTCAGAAAAAAAAATTAAACAAAATTGCAGCGATGTTTGAAGCTCATTGTCCTTCACCGGCGGGGTGTGGGGTGAGTGAGTATGGAGCAATGTGTGGTTCCCCTGGCTGCTTTTTGCTCCTTTATACATATTTTTATTTACCTAACTATACCCAAATAGGTATAAAACCAGTGTTCCGCCCTACTCTGCGAAGTTCTATTTTAAATTCTAGAGTAGGTTGTATTTGGTTTTGTTTATAAAGTCAAACCCTTTACCTCTGGGTAACTAAAATTATTGACCATAGTCTTTGTGGTTTGGACGTTATTTTGCTCTCTGTGAGTGTTTTCTGATCGATTTTTTTGGCATCTTGTCTGGAAGAACGATGACTTGTATTAAGATATGCATTCATAGAGACTGGATTTTTTTTTTTAATTTAAAAGGGCACTTTGTGTCCGTCAAAAATGTCTAGCAAGTTTAATTCCGTGACGGAGCAGAGTGATGAGCTGTTTTAACATAGGAACAGTATTGGATGCGCGTGTTGACCCATTTTAGACCGTGTCACCAAACCTCTGGAAATCCTTCATTCACATGTGCAGTTTCATAAAGTTCATGCTTCTTAAAATGTCTATCATTTTGGAGTGACGTTAGTATATTTTAGGCAACAGCAGCTTTATTTTAAATTCTTATAAAAATATATCTAATTTTTAAAAAAGGCTCTCAAAAAGTATTTGGGTTTTGGGGATGTAAGATTGAAAACTATTATTTTGCAAAACAGTTATGGTATATAAAACGTAGCATTTCTTTCTTCAGTTGATCTAACTAGGATTTTCCTGTGGTTTTCAAGCAACATTCTGCATTGTTAATACTTTTTTGTGCTTTTTTTCTTTTACATGTTCCTGAGGTATTGCCTTTGTGCCAGATCTACAGTTGCTATGATACTACTTGGAATTTTAATTGGAGCAGAGGATAAACTATGTAATTGGTACCTTTGCCTGTGTTTTCAAGGAAGAAGGTTATATTTCAGCTGCATTTCAACAATCAGAAACGTTTTAAAGATTAACCATGTGTTTAAAAATAATATGGAACAATGACTGTCAAGCTTCTTTGTATTTTGGACCATACTTGGAATGTCAAATAAACATCTTGGCTTCAAAGCTACATTTTTTTTCCCCCAAGTTGCAAAATTTGTTTTTGTCATACTTCACAATACTGTACAAATTGACATTTTATAATATGATACAATAAAGCACAGGAACAGGCCCTTCGGCCCCCCAAGCCTGTGCCGATACCTACTCCCGATTTAGACCCGCTACTTATTGCCTATGCGTGGTATCTATCCTTCTGTTTAGTTCACATTTATGTGTCTATCAAGATGTGCCTTAAATGTTGCTAACATGACATTTTCCACCACTTCCATTAGCAGTGTTCCAGGCACCCACCACTTTTTGTATGAAAAATTTTTCCTGCACTTTTCCTCTCACTTTTTCCCTCTCACCTTGAACCTGTGCCCTCTTGTAGATGATTTTTCCACCCTGAGAAAAAGCCTCTGACTGTCCACCCTATCTATGCCTTTCATAATTTTGTTGACCTCTTTCAGGTCACCCCTCAGCCTCCATCTTTCCAGTGACAGCAATCTGAGTTTAGGTAACCTCATAACTAAAACCCTCCAGACTAGGCAACATCCTGGTAAACCTTCTCTGCATTCTCTCCAAAGCATCCACGTCCTTCTGGTAGTGTGGCGAACAGAACTGCACGTAATATTCCAAATGTGGTCTTACTAAAGTTTTGTACAGCTGTAAAATAACTTGCCAACTTTTATATTCGATTCCTTGGCTGATGAAGGCAAGCGTGCTGTATGCCTTCTTGACCACCTTATCCACCTGTTTTGCCACTTTCAGGGATCTGTGAACCTGTACACCTAGATTCCTCTGTATGTCAATGCTCCTAAGAGTTTTGTCATTTATTGTGTAATTTTCACCCGAATTTGATCTTCCAAAAATTCATCAACTCACATTTGGCCAGATTAAACTCCATCTGCTTTTTTTCCTGCAAAAATCTGCATTCAGTCTATATCCTGTTGTATCCTTTGACAATCTTTCTCACCGTTTGCAACTCTGCCAATTTAGCTAACCACCTACATTTTCCTCCAGATCATTTATATAAATTACAAACAACAAAGGTCACAGCACTGATCCCTGCAGAACACCACTAGTTATTGATTTCTTTTCCAAAAACGCACCCTTCCACATCTATTCTCTGTCTTCTATGACAAGCCAATTTTGTATCCCTCCAGCCAGCTCACCCCCAATCCCATGAGACTGTACCTTCTGTACCAGTCTACCATGAGGTACCTTATCAAATGCCTTACTAAAGTCCATGTAGACAACATCCACTGCCCTTACTTCATCAATCATTCTTGTCACCTCCTCAAAAAATAAATCAAGTTGGTGAGACATGACCTTCCCTGCACAAATCCATGCTGCCTATCACTAACAAGGCCATTCGCTTCCAAGTGTGAATAAATCCTGTCCCTAAGTATCTTCTCCAACAGCTTCCCCACCAGTGATGTCAGGCTCACCAGCCTGTCATTCTTTGTATTTTCTCTGTTTCTCCTCCTTAAATAAAGAAACAACATTGGCCATTCTCCAGTCCTCTGGAACCTTGCCTGAGGCCAAAGAGGATGCAAAGATATCTGTTAAGGCCCCAGCTATTTCCTCCCTTGCCTCCCACAGTACCTAGGGATAGGTCCCATGTGGTCGTGGGACCCTGTGTTGAGTATTTCAAGATAGCCAACACTTCCTCCTTCAATATGTTGACCTGCCCGAAAGTATTCACAAACCTTTCCCTAACCTCAACATCCTTCACATTCCTGTCTTTGGTGAATACAGATGTAAAGTACTTGTTAAGGATCTCACCCATTTCCTCTGGCTCCACACATAACCTCCCTCCTTTATCCTTGAGTGGGACTACTCTTGCCCCTAGCTACCATCTAACTCATAATATATGTATAAAATGCTTTGGGATTTTCCTTAACCCTGCTGGCCAAGGACATTTCGTAGTCCCTTTTAGCCATCCTAAATCCCTGTTTGACATCCTTCCTACTTTCTCTGTATTCGTTAAGTACTTCATCTGTTTTTAGTTGCCTAGACCTTAAGTATGCTTCTTTTTGTTTTGACTAAACTGATAATTTCCTGTCATCCAAGTTCCTGAATCCTGCCATTCCTGTCCTTCATTTTCACTGCAATGTGTCTGTCCTGCCCTCTAATCAACTGGTCCTTAAAAGACTCTCACATGTCAGCTGAGGATTTGCCCTCAAACAGCTGCACCTAATCCACATTCTCCAATTCTTGCCTAATCAGGTTATAGTTGGCCTTCCCCCAATTTAAAACCTTCATCGGAGGCCCACTCTTGTCCTTATCCATAAGTATCTGAAAACTTATGGATTTATGGTCACTATCCCCAAAATACTGCCCCACTGAAACTTTGATTACTTGGTTGAGCTCATTTCCCAATACTAGGACTGTTTGGGCCCCTCCCTCGTTCGACTAACCACATACTGTTTCAAAAAACCCTCCTGGATACACCTAATAAATTGCTCCCCATCCAATTTGTGGGCGGCACGGTAGCTCAGTGGTTAGCACTGCTGCCTCACAGACCAGGTACCTGTGTTTAATTCCACCTTGGGCAACCGTCTTTGTGGAGTTTGCACGTTCTCCCCATGTCTGCGTGGGTTTCCTCCGGGTGCTCCGGTTTCCACCCACAGTCCAAAGATGTGCAGGCTAGGTGAATAGGCCATGATAAATTGCCCATAGTGCCCAGGGATGTTTAGGTTAGGTGGGTTAGACACGGGAAATTTAGGGAATGGGTCTGGATGGGATGCTCTTCAGAGGGGTGGTGTGGACTTGTTGGATCGAATGGCCTGTTTCCACACTGTAGGGATTGTATGATTCAAACTCCTGGCAGAGTGGAAGTCCCAATTAATATGGAGGAAGTTTAAATCACCCACCACAACAACCCTGTTATTTTCACATCTTTCCGGAATCTGACTACATAGCTCTTCCTCTATCTGCCACTGGCAGATGAGAGATTGGTAATACAATCCCAGCATTGTGATTGCACCATTCCTATTCCTGAGCTGTACCCATAACGTCTTGCTGCAAGATCCTTCCAGGGTGTCCTCCCTCAACATAGCTGTGAAATGCTCCCTAACCAGTATGTCAACTTCTCCACCTGTTTTGCTTCCTCCTTTGTCTCATTTAAAACATTGATTCCCAGAAGTTTAAGCTGACAATCCTGTCCCCCTTTCAGCCATTTGACTAATAACAACACCATAATTGCATGCATTAATCCAGGCTCTAAATTCATCCACCTTACCTGTTATATTTTTTGCATTAAAGCAAATATAGTCCAAGCCTCCAGTTCTGCTGAGCTCAGCAACCTCTCCCTTACTGCTCTTCCTCTTAGATAGGAGCTCCCCACCTACGTTCAGGATACTGCCCACGCCCTCCGCCTCCTCCAAGACTTTCAATTCCCCAGCCCCCAACACATCATTTTCACCTTGGACATCCAATCCCTCTACACCTGTATCCCCTATGCAGATGGCCTAAAAGCCCTCCACTTGTTCATCTCCTGCAGGCCCAACCAGTCCCCCTCCACCGACACCTTCATCTGCCCAATGGAACTTGTCCTTACCCTCAACAACTTTTCCTTTAACTCCTCCCACTTCCTACAAACTAAAGGGGTGGGTATGGGCCCCTGTGTGGGTCCGAGCTATGCCTGCCACTTTGTAGGATGTGTGGAACAGGCCTTCTTCCGCTGTTACACTGGCACTATCCCTCACCTCTTCCTTCATTACTTTGACGACTATATTGGCGCTGCCTTGTGCTCCCATGAGGAGCTTGAACAGTTCATCAACTTTATCAACACCTTCCACCCCAACCTCAAATTCACCTGGACCATCTCTGATACCTCCCTCCCCTTCCTGGACCTCTCCGTCTCCATCTCCGGTAATCGTCTCAGCCCTGACATCTATTTCAAGCCCACTGACTCTCATAGCTACCTTGACTTCACCTCCTCTCACCCACCGTCCCGC